GGAAAGAATGATACTAATTGATATAATTAAATGGTGATTGATTGACTTTCGTTAGATTAAAAGATTTGTATAAAATTGGGTTCATCTTAGCCATTGATTTACTTTAATATTAGTCGTTCATTATATGGTGATTTAACAAGAAATAGAGGCCTTCATACCTAATTTGTAATCACTTTACTTTTGAGGAATATGCAGAGCATTCACTCAATTCCATCTTCTTGTCTTTGTGAGTCATCTCCTTTCTAAGTTCTTTTTCCTTCCGTGTGGAACTAAGCCTTTTTTCTTAGTGTTTTTAGGCTTACTTAGGGGCCGATCCATCCAAGAAGTGTTTCGAGTCATTTAAGATCACACATTCTATCGGATCAAAGCTCTAAGGGCATGAAATATGGTTCATTCAATATCGATACTACCTTATGATAATATCAACATCATATAAACAATATCGATATTGAATTATATTTTTAGATTTCGAAGCTAAATATGAGATCGATACCATGACTTAATACTAATACTATTTTACGATTTAGGATTTAAAATCCTCTAATATGTATCACAATCAATATATTTGATATCGATACAACCAGTGTAGTACTAATACCCTATACTGGTATCGATACCGGTACCAAAAATAGCTTCGAAATTTCCCAATAAGCTTATTGTATCAATTCCCCTATTTTAGTATCGATACCAAATATATCAAATGGTCAAAATGATAATTCAAACATGTTCCATCGATACCATGACTTAATACTAATACTATCATAGGGTTCGTTTGTTTCACAGAAAATAAATTTTGAAAAATGAATTACATAAAATGAATACATTTTCTGGAAAATATTTTCTGGAAATCATTTTATGTTGTTAAAATGATGTAGTGTAATTCATTTTCCACTGGTTGATAAACTTTTTAAATTTTTTTATTATAAACATCAAATGCAATAAATAATATTATTTGTTAACAAAATAATAATAATATTTCTAAATATTAGAATAATGTATTTAATATTTAGTTATGTTAATATTTTTATTAAAATTTTATATCACGCCTTGCGAGTTTGAGCCTAAGGCATGTGTGCTAAAGCCCACAATAAAAGTTCTAAGTGGCATTTTGGGCTTATCCAGACCATCAGACTTGGCCTAATACTTAGAGAAAGCTAGAGAGTCTAATCACATTGGCCTTAATCACATCGGCCTTCTAGAAAAGGTAGGAAACATCATATCAAAGAGGATCATGGAGGAATATTTTCATATCGAAGGATATTCTCAATCAAAGGAAAGAATGATACTAATTGATATAATTAAATGATGATTGATTGACTTTCGTTAGATTAAAAGATTTGTATAAAATTGGGTTCATGTTAGCCATTGATTTACTTTAATATTAGTCGTTCATTATATGGTGATTTAACAAGAAATAGAGGCCTTCATACCTAATTTGTAATCACTTTACTTTTGAGGAATATGCAGAGCATTCACTCAATTCCATCTTCTTTTCTTTGTGAGTCATCTCCTTTCTAAGTTCTTTTTACTTCCATGTGGAACTAAGCCTTTTTTTCTTAGTGTTATTAGTATATTATTTTACCATAATTGTAATACAAATATTAATTATTAAATTATATTTATTGATAATTTTAGTAATATAATATAATATTTTATTGTTATAATTATATTTATTATATAATATTATAACTTTATTTTATAATATATAATAAATTATTAATAAACTTAATATTTGTTATTAATTTCATAAAAATAATAATATTAAATTATTGAATATTTAAAATATACTCTTTAAAATATAATATAATATAATATTTTTATATTATATATTTTATATTTTAATGATATTATTATTTTAATAAGTAATTAATATAATTGATAGTATATTATTCTTATTTTAATAAATAATTAATATATATTTTATAATAATTTTAATTTAAAAAAATATAATAATCTTAATATTTTATTTATAAAATTGTAGATATAATATTTTAATAATAATAAAGAAATAAATAATATTAAATAAATTATTTTAATATTTTATAAATAATATTATTTATTTCTTGTATTTGATGTGTATAATAAAGATTTTTTTAAAATTTGCTAGCCAATGAGAAATGAATTACACAATATCATTTAAACACCATAAAATGATTTCTAGAAAATGTAACTTATTTGACGGAATTCATTTTCCGAAATTTTTTTCGTGAAATAAACCGACTAAAATAGTTGTTTGATCAAAATTAAGACCCAAAATTTGTTAGTAATGTGGCTCAGGCCTAATATGAATTTCGAATAGTTGGATGCAAGGTTTATTCTTAGACTAAAAAGAAAATGCCCCAAGCCCCACGCAAGGTCCATTTCGTTGAAAAACAAACAACGATTCGAGCGAGAACGATGGAAATTTTATAGGAGCGAGAAGAGCCAAAGGATAGACCCTGACCTTTCCTACAAATTTGTTCTATCAAAATCCCTGCTTCCTCTATACTCCATGAAAGTTTCGTAAACAAAGGTCTGTTACAATTTTCATACAATCTTCATCTAAGTCATGGATCTAAGCCAGGTAAAAGTTTCTCCGATTTTGATGCCATCTACAGATCATGACAATACTAACAACTATGATCATCATTGTTAGATTCTTAGTATTTACGTATTTGTTTTCAACAATCTAATCGTCTATTACTTGATTTAAACTCTCTCTCCACGACAGCCCGTAGAAGAAAACTATGCCAACCCCAAAACATGCTTCTTCCACGTGCTCTTCAAGGTGATCACTCTAATGGTGTTGCTGTTTCAAGAATTGTTTGAATTCCCACTGTATAACTGCTTTCTGCTTTCCTTTTTGGCAGGCTTCAGCTTTGGCATTTTACATTCTTTCAACACTCTTTGCCAATAGCTTTGTCATCATCTTCGTGATCACCGTTGTGCTCGCTGCTCTCGATTTTTGGGTCGTCAAGAACGTTAGCGGTCGTATCTTAGTCGGGCTTAGGTGGTGGAATGAAATAAACGAGCAAGGTGAGAGCATATGGAGATTTGAGTGCCTTGACCAAGAGGTTGGTTTTTTGCATTAATGTTACATTTGGTTATCCTAATCTCTTGATTTGCAATTGTCCTTGTTTGACATCTTTTTTGACCTCTGTGCAGTCATTAGCTCGTATTAACCAAAAGGATTCCATGCTATTTTGGTGGACATTGTATCTTAATGTAAGTAAACATTAGGAAAACGTATTGGAATGGATGAATCTGAAATGAATCATGGTCATTTAGAGGTTTAGTTATTGAGTAATGATTTACAAAGTGTTGACCCTTATTTGTTATGTTTCAGGCTGTTGCTTGGGGCATCTTTGGCATATTTTCAATGGTAAGACTTGAAGTTGATTATCTCCTAGTTGTGGCAGTCTGTTTTAGCCTTGCCATTGCCAACATCATCGGATTTACCAAATGCCGTAAAGGTACAGCATTCCTCCATCTCTGATATAGAATAGTTTTGATGTTGTTATAGTGTTAGGGATGAGTCTAAAACACAGCCGGTTAATACAAGGTTAAAATATGGCATAAGTCGGTTATAACTGAAAAAATTTACCAATAATATCGAGTTGAGTCGAGTTAAAAAATTTTAAGTTATTCGAGTTGACGAATGCTAGTTTATAACTCGGAGTTGACTTGAAACTTTTTTTAGCCGAGTTGATCCGAGTCAAATTTTCGAGTTTCTATTTAAATTTAATTGTAAATATTAACAAATTATGACATTATTTTAGTCCAATGTAAATGATATTTTATAACCATCTATAAATATATATATATATATATATATATATATATATATATATATATATATATATATATATATATATATATATATATATATATATCTTTTATCTTTTTTTTTTTTCATATGTGATTTATATATACCATACAAGTTAAGGGATCGACTCAAACTTGAAAATTAATATACTAATTATTAAAAATTTTGAGTTATTTGAGTTGTATTTTACAACTCGATTTTAACTCCAAATTTTTTCAAGTCGAGTTGAATTTATGGAATTATAACTCAAACTCAATTTGAATCGAGTTGAGTCGAAAAATCGATTTTTCGAGTCGAGTTTTGCTCACCCTTAGAAATAATTGTTAGCAGCCTGGTTTTGCTGCAGTTAATATACTTTTTTTTTCTGTTCTAAATTCAGATGCCAGGAACAAGATTCAAGCGTTTGCCTCTAGGACCATTGCTTCTCGTTTTTCATCCACACTACAGTCAGCATTTAGCTTGGTGTGACTTGTCTGACCCTACAAATTATTTTATCAAATCTTATTGCCCGGATTTCTTAACTTCTAGGCAGTGGAACAAAATGTTTTCATTATGTATTTTTCCTTTAATTCATAGAATGAAAAAAAAGAACTAAGAAATATGTTCTCCTCAAATTACTGTAGTTTTTTAATAATGTAATAAATTAGAAAAAAACGGAAAATTGCATCAATGTTCTTCATCACTGATAAACAGTTTCAACAAGTCACAATCTTGTTTTAAACTGGAGGAGGAGCAATAGCTTTACTTGGTCGGTAAGCAGTAATGAAATCTTGATTGAAGCATTGGGCGCTTTTTTACCATCTTCGCATGTTGCAAAACACAGAAGAACACGTTGAAAATATTGGGGTATGTAATGATAAAACAAAGACAACTTGTGTTGAAGAAAACTTGTTTTTTTCCTCCTCCTCGTAGACTAATGCTCCGGTCTTCATAGCTCATTTCAAATATTTTGTCGATTGTGCGTGTACGCGACCAATATAAGATATGGAAAAGTCAGAGAGTCAAAAGCTGAATAGAAAATTCACAAATTGGGTCGTTCCCAATTCTACTTCTAATCACATACATTCCCCTCTTTTACATTCTTTATTATGTTATGCTTAAAAAAAGAAATCATTATTTACTTTTTGTAGTCAATCCCATCTTTGCTTCTCTCTATATAAATCCCCATCTGCTCTGATAGCCTTGTAAGTTCATCCTTTGTATCATCAACAATAAACCCAAAATCAAAAATCAAATCTTTCTCTCCCTCCTTCGGTTCTTCGTCTCTGACAAAAATGGATGTTTACGAGAGTTGTTTCGTATCTGAAACTCCACCAAGTGAAGAAGAGATGGATGTAAGGAAAGGTCCGTGGACAGAAGAAGAGGACTTGACGCTCAAGGCGTTTGTCAATATTCATGGTGAAGGTCGATGGAATTCAGTTGCTCGGTTATCAGGTTTGAAAAGAACCGGCAAGAGCTGCAGATTAAGATGGCTCAACTATTTGAGACCCCAAGTGAGACGTGGGAACATCAGTCTCCAGGAGCAGCTATTGATCCTTCAACTCCATTCTCGATGGGGAAACAGGTCTTTACTTTGATTCCCACTTTTTGGTTTTGATTCGAATTCATTAAATGAATGCTTTTAGCTGACTTACTGTCTGGTTCTGAAGATGGTCGAAAATCGCACAACATTTGCCTGGGAGGACAGACAACGAGATAAAGAACTATTGGAGAACGAGAGTCCAGAAACAGGCAAAGCAGCTTAAATGTGACGTCAACAGCAAACAATTCAGGGACACCATGCGTTACGTTTGGATTCCACGTTTAATTGAACGAATCTGTGCTTCATCCGAATCCCCCTCCGGTCAACAACCCTCGGCCGCCGCCTACTCGGATCATATCAGCAACATGAACACCAATCAAATCACCTGTGGATCAGTCCAAGTCGACTCGAGTGTTATGACGGAGTTGTCAGGCACTTCGTCGGACTCCCAGGATGCTCAAGTCTCCTCCGTTTCGAACTTGACAGAATGTTACGACGCACCCCACGTTTGGAACTACCCGAACAGTTTTCAAATCGGGTCGGGTTTAAGCTCGGAAATTTTAGAGGGCACATGGAATATAGATGGTGGAGAGTCGATGGAGAGCATGTGGAATGAAGAGAATATTTGGTTCCTAAGACAGCAGCTTTATGAGGATGATTTCAATTAGCTTACTTTACCTATCAAGTTTTATATTTTAAACATTTTGGGCATTCTTTGTTATCAAATATAAGAGTATCTCTAACAGTACAAGATCTATAGACTTTTGGAATGTCAATGTTCCAGGTTGATAGAGATGTATAACTACACTGTATATCTCTGAAAAATATACCAATTCGGTTCCCGGACAACATCCATTTTACGTCAACAAGTGTATCTTTGCGGTGAAATTGATTTTACTATTTTCATCCAACTTTTTAACAAATATATTATTCAAGCGGATTATTTATTTGGTCCAATAGGCCATTTTCAACATTATTTTGCATTCTACTATATTTGTTACAATGTAAGGTAAACTCGTCACTCCTACATAGCGAGTTTGTTCGTATATTATTTTTTAATTGACTCAGGTCTATAGACCCCGTAGGACCAAATTTTTTAATATATTTCTCAGAACTCGTCATGTCGATGTGATAAGTTTCATTAAAATATATTAAATAATATTTTTAAAATTAAAATAATATTTATTAATTAAAAATTCTAATTGTTTTAAAAAATGGAACTCGACATATGGGCGTTATGAGTTCCTTTTGAATTTCAAATTTATAGTGCTTACTTGAATGTTGGAAAAACAGGGTAGAATATTTTTAAATTCCATCGAAACTCGTCATGTGGGAGTGACGAGTCCCAACAATCATATTTTTTTATTAATAGGAGGAGTTGATGATGTTTGTATAAGAAGTAAGAAAAGTTTTTAGAATCAAATCATGAATAAGTGGGAACAATTTGGGTATGATTTAGCAAACGTTGTTTACAGGTTTTACGACTCCGACTGGGACGATTCAAATTCAAGCTACTCTTCAGATAAGGAGTGGGTAAAGCAGACAATGATGTCGATAGTTGAGGAAAATAAGAATAAGAAAACTACATAAGAGAATAAGAAGATGATGAAAATCGAGAAGAAGAAGTATGCAGACTTACCAATCCAACGTAGCAAACGACTTGTAGAGTGGGATGAAAAGAATAAAAATAATAATATGAAATTTAAGGGGGAAAAATGATGAAAGACAAATATGATTACTTATCAAATAGACGTAGTAAACGAATTGTATAGAGGGCTGAAAAAAATTAAAATAAGATATAAAAAATGTTGATTTTTATAGTTTAAATATATGTATGAATTTATCTTTGCTAATTAAGTAATTATTGTATTGAGTAAAGTTATTTATGAATAGTTTGTAATTATATATGAACTAAAGTGTAAGTTCAAAATAAGGATGTTGAAAAAATATAAACACACAAAAAAGTACAGTTTGGAAAATATGAACGCATTTAAAAAAGGTACAACTAAAAAATGAACTAAACACATAAAGGTTTTATCATCTAGATCGATATTTAGGAAGATGCAGACAATATTTTCTATTGCGGCCTTCACCTCTACAATGGTCACCAAGCTTAGGTAGACCTTGCTCTCTTTGAGGATCATCCATTCACTATGAATTTGACTAGATTTAGGTCAACCCTTCAACTTCTTACGCAACTCTGAATTTGATAACCATTCTTCAGAAATAGTTGGTGTAGGCCAATAACATCGTTTGAGAGATTTTTAAACTCACAACTGTATATATTACACATAGTGTGTAGGCTATAACAATCGTCAACATAAGAATATGGATCAACATTAACGTGTAGACATGCAACGACAACATGAGCTCGTGGGAATCTAAAAGCTTGAAATCGACCTTAATCACATCATCTTCTATTTAGATTACTGGTGTATGTGGCAGAATTGTCTTTCTCATGTGGTTGAACAAGTGCTTAGATAATGTAATTAGAATCAAGTCTGGAAAAATTATGAATAAATATTGATGTTGTATATGTTTGATTTTTTGCATTGCCTTCTCCAAATCTGGAGGTTAATTTCTTCCATAGTTGATCATGGCATCTATTTTTGAACTTTTGTTTGCCCAAACTTTATCTAACTTGAAGTAAGTCTTCCTAATAATACTTGGTATCGAAAGATGTAGAGTCCCTTTAAGCATTAAGTTTATACATTCAACAAAGTTGATTGTTATATGGTTGCAATGTCAACCTCATCATATGCTTATGAGCATCTTTCCCTAAGGATTTCAGTTGTGAAGTTATAAACATCTTCTCTATATCTTCTCAAATTTTCTAGTTGTGCACGAAAGTGTGGTTGTAGTAAAACATACCCTAAAAAAATTATATTTAAGAATACAAAATAAAGAACATAAATGAATCATAAATAATTAATAAAAAATAATGTATTTCTTACCCATGTTGATAATCACCTGTTTGATCTTTTTGTTTTTAAACCTCTTCATAGCATTAGAGGAAATATGACCTATACAATATGTCATATATGCATGGGGAGGCCTCAATCTATTTCCTGGTCAAAAAATTGTCACTAACAGACCATTTGAATGGTCTGATATGATATAAACTCCATCTTGAGTGACAACATGGAAACACAAATATGGGAGAAAATTATAACTTTCCTTTCATTAATTTCTATCAATGGCGAAGGCAATGAAAAAATGTTTTTGTCACATCTTGTGCAACATATATCATCAGGACGTATTTGTATACCTCATACAGTAAAATCTTATCGACTTGAATTATTAGTTTGTAAATTTAGAGCTCTTCAATAGATGACTTGAAATCCCAAAACAAGCCACTAAAACTCTCTTTCCAGGGATAACTTCTCCGTGAAGCATGATCACAGGAAAATTATATGATATTATAATGGTTTTAGGTTTGAAAATTTTCATTCCTTGCAGCAAAAGTGGTAGCTAATTATATAATTGATCCCAATCACCATACAACAATTTCATTGTTTTCTTTTTAGCCATCTACAACTTATAAGACGGAATATAACTAAATGCATTCTGGATGGATACCACTAACAATGAAATGAGTATCCTTAGATTTTTTTCGATCAAAAGTTTAACATATGAGCATATGATATTTGAATATAAATGTTTGTGGTCTTGTGTCAACGAGCTATAAGAGTGTAACCAAAGGTTCTCGTTAACCACCTACTCTATATCCGAGAGAGTCACAGCAGCTAATGATTTTCGTCAAATATCTGATGAGGTTTATGGAGCCCGAACAGCAGTGACGCTATAAAGAGGAATTTTTTGATAAGGATTTTTGTTTTGAACAAAGGTTCAATCTATCTTCAATCGAAGATTTACAGCAAGTTGAGTACATCACATACATCAATACCACACTCCTTTTGGAGAAATTTTATGAGCATCTAGGGAACATCACTTAGGAGCTAGTATGGGTATTTTACAGCAACTTCACTGACGAAAAGAAACTAATGGTTTTTGTTTTAGAAAAGTTAGTTCATTGGTGGACGATGTTGGATATATGAAATGCAAAACTACACCGTTAGCACTGACTGGAAATATAAACAGTAATTAAGAAGAACAAATTCTTAAACCGTGTCGTGGTAAGAACCACTGCCTTAGAAATGAATTCGCCTCGATGTGTGTAATCGCTGCAGTAGGCGGACCGTCCCCCGAGGTTAACATGGTCGCTCCAAATTCCGTACACCCGAAACCGGAGTGGACTGCTGGTGGTATTGTACTTCTGATCGGAAAGCACTCAGAGAGAACTTTAGAAAACACTTTGTAAGTGAATTGTGAATGTTTTTGAATGAGTTGAGAAGCTGAATATAGCTCTCTATTTATAGGCTAAAAATAGGGTTAAAATCGTCTATAAAATTTCAGGATTAAATCTCTTATTTGTAACAGCTGAAACGTCTAGATGAACCTGACTCAGAAATAGTCCAGGTTCATTGTATCATTATTCAGCTGTTATAACTCCCGAAATTATATCATGTAACCCCTGGAATTAAATCAAATAACTCCTGTAACTCCTGATATTAACAGCTTGTCTCCTCTGTACAAAGCTGTAAATCAGTCCAGGTACATCTTAATGTTTTTGATTTAATTTAGGAATAAACTGTTTAATTTCTGATAACAAATAATTCAGTTGTTATTATTTGAAATTCAAACAGTCCTCAGCGCATAAATATCAGTTGATATCTTTTACATTTTCCTTTGTTTCTTTCAAAGAGAAATTCCTCAAGAATTTTCTCTAAAAAGATAGTATCCGCGCGGACGTGTCGAAGACACGTATTACCACGACCACGACCACAACCACGACCACGAGCCGAGTCGTGCCGAGCCGAGCCGTGCCGAGCCGAGCCGAGACGAGACGGAAGGACGGCGGCGGCGGTGCGCGAGAGCCCCCTTGTTCTCTATCACTCAACAAGGAAGTGGAATGTCAAGCCTTAATACCATTCCCAATAGTGTTTCCAACACTATGGGATTGAGCATTACCAACATTCCCCCACTAATGCGAAAGAAATCTTCTGAAACTCGAAAACAAGCTTTCCAGAAGAGCAATAGCGAGATTAGTTGCTTAAGCACTAGTGAACATATCTGGAACTAGTACATAGTGATGATGAGCAATCCTTCTCTTAGATAAGTGAAACTAGTCTGGAACTTTCTAAGATCAGGGTAAACTCATAACACACAACTAACCCCTTCATCCACCTGAGTCCTCGATGTGTAAGATATATATACAAAAGTATATATTTGGCCATCTTACCTCAGGATTCTAGTAAGTGTGCTAGAAAAATGGCCCAACATTTTTCATAGAAGCGGCTAACCCTTCTCACTTACATAGGTATTTCATCAAGTTTATCTCCACATAAACCACCCTTTAAAAAGGGATATGAAATAATTAAGAGCTTTTATAATAGCTCAACCTCACAAAGGGTATGGTGACTTTTTTCAAGTTCATTATAAATGAACCACCCAAACTCTGGGCTAAGAAGTCATTAAGAATAAATATTCAACCTCATTTCGGTAAATTCAATAAGTCCTTCTCACTAGAACCATCCAAATACTTGGATTTGAATTTATTAAGAGTTTAACAAACTCAACCTTTCTGTCGGTAAGTTCATCATTTCCTACCCACTCACTCTGGGTTATGAACTTATTAAGAATAGATATTCGGCCAAAATGGGTAAATTCATCAAGTCTTTCTCACTAAGACCACCCAAAGCCTGGGC